ATTAAAATTCATCTAATAGTTAAATATCATAAAGAAGATGCTCCTTCAAGGGCATCGTTCTAGTCTAATCGGTTAAGTTTATTTATTTAGTGTTTTAAGAGTAGATATCTCTTTTCCCTTGCGTAGATGGTGTAAATAATGATATTAGAACATTTAAATAGAACTGAATTGGAATGTTATGTTTTTTGGTCTTGTAAGTGGTTTGTATGTGTACTTGACAGACACACCATGTTGTAAATAATACTTGTATTTTGAAATAAAGCATATGCCGTAAAAAAAAAATTAAACAAAAAATTAAATAAATAAATGTCCGCGTACTGACAATGAAAATTAGCCAATGAGCGCGCGAGAATTTCTGCAGTTATCGTAAAAAGTCGAACTGGTAAGTAATTGGTTCGATTTGGGTTTTACGACACTCAATTGAAAACCACTCTAATTTTGCATTAATGTGTTAGTTAATCACTAACAAACCTGTGAATAATAGCGAGTCTATATTTTTAGCAGCCTGAACGTAAACCGATTAACAATTATTGGACGAGATTGAGCAAAATATCGTGATTTGTCAGTGGCGAGCAGATCAATTGCCGAAGCCGAAGGCTGAGGGACTGAAATAATTGATCTGTGAGACACTGACAAATCACGATATTTTGCTATAACCGAGTTCAATAATTGTTTTATCATTCGATCACCAAGTTTGTTTTCATATTTAAATCACTCTCTTACAGCTCCGAGAAGCGATCTGCCATTTTTCACACAAGAGCGTGGTTACAGTTGCGCACGAGCAGAATATCATTTGCAGCAAAACACATTTAGACGGTACTACGCATGAGCAGACCATTATTTGTAGTCAGTTATTTGCAGGTTGCTTTTCTGTTTTGTTATCTTGTACTCGAAACAAAAGCCTGACATGGCTTAGTTTGATTGATTAGTTGACCTAACTTGTATTAAGTCAGTTACCTTATTTAAAAACTCTTTCAGTATAATAGCGGAGTTGAATAAGTAATGCTATGTTTTGTAAGAAACCAATAAAAAGATCATGAATAAAATATTGCATAATGAGTGGGTGATAAAAAAAAAACTAATCAGTAGCTGATGTATTAAATTTCTGTTAAAGTAAACAAAGTTTCTGCTTTAAATATTTATTAACTCTTCCAATATTTTTCACCTTTGTCAGCTAACGTTCGTTACATTTTGCAGATAATATCTGTTTGCCTTCTTGTCGATCGTTAACTACTTCTTATTTCGTGGGATGCAATTTTGTAAGCCGAAACTTCAGACTGGTAGGTTATTTTATTATGTTTAGGAAGAAATGATAAATACTGAGTCTTACAGCTTTCTGAAAAAGAACTAGTTGACCCCAAGGGAAATGTGCTGCAGAGCAGAACTTGTAATATACCGCGCGACCAAGTGACAGAAGCTAGTTTATCAAACTCCGCGCGGATCTGTACAAAACAGGTTCTGCGTACGGACCGAAAACGTAGGCGTAGAAATAAAGAATAGTATTTCATGCCTCGTTTGACGCAATTTTAGAAGTCTAGATAATGCCAGCAAAAACCAGGTACGTTTTAAGTAAAACCGGTTTGACTGACTACTGCATAACCCTGCATTGAACTTACGAATCACAGGGGCGGATCTAGGGGGAGGGTGCATGGGGTGTGTATCCTCCACCCCCGAGATGAAGCCTTCTCCTTCGTATTCGCTTTTAATATTTGTTTACCTCACCAGTCAGTTACGCCATTCCTTAGTGGTGCACCCCGTCCTGAGCAAAATCCTGGATCCGCTCCTGAAACATATATACACATTATCGATAATCTTGCTAGTCGAAAGATCACAAGTCATTTACCATAGAGAACAACGATGGTACACGGAATGACCAACTTCAAACTTCTCACTAAATCATGTTTTACACTTTTACAGAAATGTTTTGGCTTCTGCTATCAATGTCGTTTCTGGCTGTCGTCCATTCAACAAAACAATGCAAAGCCACATACTCGGTATGGGGGCGTTACCTCAAAGGTCATGTGATTTCGTCAGAAAATGTGAAAAATATTGGCGTGTGCTACATCCAATGCTCGATGGATCAACGCTGCATGAGCATCAATTTCCACTTTGGTGACTTTATTTGTGAGCTGAATGATGCAGATCGATACACACACCCCTGGGATTATGTGCTGATAAAGGACCAAGCCTACAGTGATTACCCCGTCAAGGTTTGTCTCCGTTATGCTTCTATTTTCAATCTTGTCATCACAATTGAACATTGCGTTAAGCCAAGGCAAGTTGGGGGGAGGACAAGGCGGGGGAGGGGGGGTTGATTCAGTTTAACAGCTTTTAACGTAGAGTACCTTGAAGACCCATGATTATGGATAAGTCGTTAGAACAACTCTTTTATTCCCAGGCTGCTTTTAAAGAGTACTTCATGACACCATTGTGGCTCGAGACACACGCGTCCTACATCAGTAGCAATCGAGACACAACCGCTGACCAGATAACGTTCAACGGAGGCTCACTCTTCGGTGCAGCGCTTTTAAAAGTTCCCTTACTAGCAGCTGATGTCTTGGGGGATGGAACTCCGCTGACTGTTGAAATAACAGTGGCTAATGATGTCAGTATCGGACAAACACCAGGCAGTGATAGTGACATCACATATGGCGTGTCGGACGGAAACAACTTCATCGGGTTTGAAGCAGTTGACAGAGCAAATTATCCATCATGGGCTCCTTGTAGCGGGGCGGAGGCAAAATCTGGGGAAGTTCTGACTGCCGTAAATACTTTTGATAAGAAAATTCCTCTTCCAGGTGCAAGTTTCTATCCTCCGCAGTTTGTCTTCACTCTCAAACTAGATCAGCCATGGGGCTCGTGTTTCACTCCGCATGGCGGAGGCTTCATTAAGACAGCCAAGTACACGAAACAATTGATGCTAAGCCATGGTCTTACTCTGGAGGTTTATAAAAAACATGCAAGGGAGAGTGTAGGCATCAAACACATTACGATCACCGTTATGAAAACGGATGGCCAAGAAAAAGTATAGTTTTCACTCGTTCACTACTGTTAAGATCGACCCCGAGTAACAGTAGAAGAACCACGAAAAAGGAAACACATGGAATGATTTATTTTAGGCATCCTACCTCATGTAATACAACACACGATATAGCATAGTCCTACGTCATGTAGTATAACACGGGATATAACAAATGCCAAAAACGTTATTTATTACGAAGCGTTATTTGGGGCAAAATTTAATGCAAATTATGTTACGGTGTTTCGTATTTTATTCGGCCACACTGATGAATTCTGTTCGAACTTTTGATCGAATTATCTTCCGCTCTTTTGAATCATGTTCGGAAGTTTGAACTTATTATAGAATACTATTAAAACGTTTGTAAATTATGTTCGACTCTTACGAGTTATGTTCGGAATGTTTAGCTTATAATTGCTTCGGTTGTTTTCTTGATTTATGTTTTAAATTACGGAATGCGGCTTCTTCGAATTATGTTCGGCAAGCCGAGTGGATTGGAAGGCATGCTAATAAGGGTATCTTTACTTACATCCTCTAAATTTACTTCTAAAGCAAAATATAATATGCCAAATAAAGATCCTTAATTCTTGTTTTAGCTAAGCGGGTTTGCCCTCTTATCTGTTGTGAAAATTACATTTGGCCAACAGCTTACCTTCCCGTGGGGCGACTCTCATATAATAAAGACGGGGGTTCTTGTCGAAAATTTTGAAAAGAACTCCTAATAGGTTCCAAGATCCTGATCTGTGGGCTTGGCTTGACCTCTAAATATCTCTCAATTTTGTTTGTTTTAAAACTAAACCGATTTTAAATCACTCATTCCAAAATGACTTAGGTCAAAATCACTCAGCCGCTTCTGTGTTACCAGCATCCGCCATTTTAGAAAATTGCTGCCTTAGCGCTGTTAGTGATATGGAATACATTTTTCGCATGGGAAACCGCTGAACTGGGCTGTTTCTGGCTTAGAAATGAGTATTGTTTAAATAAAAA